CCCGGGCGGGGCCAGAGTGGACGTGGAGGGGCGGGGGGAGGAGGTGCAGCGTGAGTGGTAAGAAAGCCCCAGAGGAGGACCAGAGCAGCCAGAAAACAGACAAGCCGCGACAGGCTCCCGCTTTCCACAGGCAGCTACAGAAAAACGAACAGGCGGCGGAGGAAGGCAAAGGCAGCCGAGGCATGTGTGGGGTCAGACGAGTGCACCCGGGGGTCGTGTTCTTCCCCCCGGCAGTTTCCAAATCCGGCAGGCGTGGTTCTTCCCGCTTTTCTCCCCGCTCCGCGGGGAGGCTCGCGCCTAACTCCGGTCCTGGGGGAAGGCGAGCGCGAGGGCATAGCCGTGGCCGGCCGTGGGGTCCGCGGACGAACGGCAGACGGGCAGCGTGCTCTGCAAGGCCAGCCGGTCCACCGCGAACTCGTAGGCGTGGATCAGCCCGCGGTGCCTAGAGGAAGCACAGACAGCATGCGTCGGGACGGTCCCCGTGAATGCTCCCGTCCTTCGGGCCGACAGCGTGGTGGACACGCAGTCCCGGGACTGGAGACAGACAGGTGAGCCGCCGCGTCTGACCGAGGGGAGGCCAGCGGTCACCCGAGCCACCTGCACGGGGGTCTCTCCCTCGTTGGGAACGGAGTCCCCCAGCAGATGGAGCAGGAGGAGGGGGCTTTGCCACCAGGAGCGTAACCACGGCGGGAGCATCGCGATGCGCACACTTTGCTGCGCGGCCGCGAAGTTCGCAGCTTCTGTGAAAACAATGGCCGTACCTGACGGGGTACGAGGTGACCCTGGGGGCACGAGGTGGCCCAGGGGTCCTAGTGACACAGTCAAGCCAAGATGCTGTGTTCTGAGCCCCGACAAAGCCAGCCCCACGCACTGACCTCCTGTGGGCCGTGAAGTCCAGGTCGGTGTTGCGCACCACCCTCTCGTAGGGCACGTTGGCCGTGATGAGGCTGTGGCTGTTGAAGGACAGGTGGCGGACGGGGTGCCTGGAACACAACGGAGAGCGCCTGGTAAAGGGAAGCCCCCCCCAGACTGGGCCCCCTCTAAGTTCGGAAGTTTAGAGTACAGGGGCTCTAGAACCCTCTACCAAGCTTCTCATGAACAGGGGAGGAACCCGGGCCCCCAACAGGGGCAGAGACTTGCCTTGCTTCTATACTCTGGGCACTGCTGTTAACAAGTCCGGGTGCCCCCTATGTCTCCTGGCCGGCCACCCAACTTGGTATGTTTTGAGGTGAAGGATTTTAGCACGTGGTAGAGAACAGCCCCATTTCTGGCTGGCCAGCCCTGGACAGGTTCGCCAGGCTCCCCCTCTGCAGGGTGTGGGGCTGATCCATCAAAGGCCCCCTCCTCCTATGTTTGAGAGGGCTACAACTGATAGTTGGACTCTGTGCTCTTGTGCTGCAAAATTTAGCAACAGTAGCTTGAAACCGACGGATGGAGTAAAGGCTTTTGTTCATTCTAAACGCTTCTATCCAGTGCCTTGGTCACAGCTCCAAGCCAGGAGCCACAGGATGTAAAGATGTCCAATGCAATCGGGAACCTGCTATCAGAGGTTTCCTAACTAGCTAAGAATGTAAGAGTGCATTCCCCCAAAATGAAACCAAGGTTTCTAGAGCATGAAAGATGTCACAAGCCCCAAGGATGGGACATAGGCTTCAGCACTGAGCCCATCAGCCAGGCCCTTGCAGAAAGGCAGAGATGAGGGAAACTCTGTGCAGGCCGAGCAGGGGCTGGCTTCTTGGCCTGAACAGAGCATTCTCTCCTTGGTATTGAAAGTCCGGGGGAATCTGAACCTGGCCCCGCCAGTCCAGGATTCGGGGCACCAACCAGAAGTAAGCATGTCTGGGAGACTTCACTAGGGGCCCGGCGAGGTGGGGCCAAGGGAGAGAGGGCTGAGTGTGGAGGGAGAGGCTCTGCTGTACCGCGGGGCCGGACCAGAGGCTCGAGAGGACCCAGACGGGCTGCACGCAAGGCAGGCGAGGACCTGGTGAGCACACGAGCTCCAGGTAGGACACTGAAGAGTGGGGCCCAGCCCTTCACTGGTGGACATGGGGACCTTGCCAGGTGGCCCAAGCCACTAACCGGCGGCGAGGACTGCGTGTACACTTACAAGTGAGTTAGGGAGGCAAGTGCTGGGACAGGACACGGCTGGGGAAGACCTCACTGACTGTGGCTTCGCTTGAATGATACATCAAAGGGAACACAGCTCTTCCGGGAGAGAGAGTCCAGCCCTAGTGACCAGGTGGTGCTGCTGCTGGAAAGCGGGACGGGAGGGTGGCAGGGCCCCAGCTGCAGTGAGCTGTGCTAGTAGGAGAGGCTGACCCGGCTCGTCCAAGCAATAAAAGGGCTTCCTCCTTCTAAGGTGCCACCATGGAGGACGTTTAGTTGCCTTTCGGCACCACCTGGTGGCAACTCTTCGTATCATCACAGAAAGCAGGAAAAGGGCTTTTGCACCTGTTTGCTGAGTAAGACAGGGCTGGACAGAGCCAGACGGTGTAGTCTGATAGAAGCAGCCAATTCCTGTTTTAACCTTGCCACCGCTGGTACCGGGCCTGGACTGTACTGCCTTCTCTTACTAGGACTTGAAATTTCTATTTGTGGGCTCAGCGTCTGTGTGTTTCTTCCTCTTCTTCTCCCAGTCCACGTCGCAGAATGTGCCTTCACAGTGGTGCTGGGCCAGCTGGGAAGAAGGCTCTCCTCTTTCCCTGCCCCCAACTGGTGGCATGTAGGGCCAGGTGGCTGTGGCAGGGTAAGGGGGGAGGGAGAGCCCCTTCCCCAGGCGAGAGGGGGACGGCCTCAAGTCAGCTCCAGGCACGGCTGCCTCTACCTGTTAGGCATCCTTAACGTTATCTGCCTACATCCGTGAGGCCCCCCACCTACACTTGGGATAACGAAAGGCCACACTGCTCCCTCCTTAGCTGAAGCCTGACTACTTGCAGTCCTAGGGCCCTTCTAAACAGTGGAAAGCAAGTCCAAGAAATGGACAATCAAGGTCCCGCATGTTGGGACTCCCAGCAGGCCTTGCCTACCCTGGCTGGGTGTAAGTCACGGCAGCTTTAACGGCGTGAGTAGAACTACCTCCCCAGTGACCAGCGCCGTCTCTGGGTCTCAGGTTCCTCGCCTGAGAAATGGAGCGAGGAACTGACCGCAGCCAGCTCCTCGGTTATGCTGAGGACGGTGTGGTGACACAAGGAACTGGCTCAGAGGCGGCCTGCTACCCCTATGGCTCCTGTTCCGTTCAGTTACCTGGAATGCACCTCCCACAGCTTCTGGTTCATTCGATAGTCCCACACCGAGACCAGGCCTTCTTCGCCTCCACTGACGATTTTCCAGTCGTCCATCTGCACTGCAGAGACGCCCAGTTGGTGGGCGGAGAGCGACAGGGCGATTTTGTCAGTGCGGAAGTCATGGATCCTCACCCTGGAAGGCCCGAGAGAAGCACAGAGAAGAGAAATGGGATTCGTGTTAAGGCCCGAAATGACAGGTTCATCCTTGGTTGTGCTGGTTGATGCCCAACAATCTTGTGCCAGAACATTAAAAAAAAAAAAACAAAAAAAAAACGTTGTGTGCCAACATCTTCATACTGATATAGAACTTTTACCTCCTTATTAGTACATGGTCATAGGATGCGAGGGTGCGACAGAAATGAACGAGTTTACAGTACCCACAACTGTCTAATCAGAATGATTTAAAAGCCCCCGGAACAAGATAGACTCAAGACAACTATATCAGCTGACCCGTCACACATGCTTTCTCTGCTCAACAGGGAAGACACCTGCCCTGAGCGGGAGTCCACACACAGGAAAGCTCAACTCTGACCACACCGGACTGAGGAGGCTGACCCAGTGGTAAGTCTACTGCCCAGCCCAGGAGTTTTGCTGGTACCACCAAATTCTGTTAAGGGCAGGAGGTAAACCGGCCACACTCGTCTGTAACCCAAACCCTTACCCGGTTGGGAAAATGACACTTTTCTGGGGTTGAATTTAACTTGACTTTTAAATTTTATCACCCTCTTGTCGAAATTTGGAAAGCAATGTGTCTGTAGTTGACGAAGCGTAATAAAATCACGGTAAGAATATGTGGACACTTGGCTGCCACTCATCTGAAGTCCCACAATAATTACTTGCCTTGTAATAATGTGAATTTAAGAACCTCTTTAAAAATGACTCTGCTTGGGGTGCCTGGGTGGCTCAGTGGGTTAAGCGTCCGACTCTTGATTTTGGCTCAGGTCATGATCTCACGGTTCCTGGGTTCGAGCCTGGTGTGGGCTCTATGCGGACAGCTCAGGCCTGGAGCCTGCTTCGGATTCTGTGTCTCCCTCTCTGTGCTCTTACCCTGCTAGTGTTCTGCGCCTCTCTCAAAAATAAGTTTTAAAAAATGTTAAAAAAAAATGACTGTTTAAGTATATGCTGCATTTCCACACATGGATAAACGAGACAGATCCCTTATGTGGCAAAACACCAACACGGTTCCTGAAATAAAAGCCACAGAGCAAAAATTAAAAGGGGCAAAATTACAATACAGGTGAACTTAACAGCCTCGCTGCTACAAGTCAAAAAGTAAAAGACCCAGTGCCTAGCAGGAGGCCAGTCCCAGCTAATGCTAGCATGGTAAGTGTGGTCTAGACAACAGGTGCACAGAGAGGGTCTGAAACCTGCTGGGTCCTCAACTCCCAGTTATGAGCATGTGCACCAGATCAATGGTATGCAGAGTTCTGAGGAACATTAGTTTGAACCAAAACTCCTATACCTCGTGGACCTACCGAGTTCGAAGGCGTAATTAAGATTTTTTTTTTTAACAGAAAAGGACCCCAAATCTGCTACCTGTGGACCTCTCGAAAAGAAAGGGATGTGGCAAAATACTGGAAGGACTGTGAGGGGAGCTCACAGAGGGATGCATGAAACTGTCCAGCGTGGCTCGAGAAGATGGCTTTGCGAAGCCACAGACTGCGTGGGGAGAACCCACCAAGGAGCAAGAAGGGCTCCTAATGGCTCACCAAGTACCGACAACTCAGTATGTGCTACGGATGAGAGGTGGACTGCGGCACGAAAAGCTTTATAGACAGTTTAGTAAGTGTCTGATAAAATTTGCCTGGACAGGAAAAGCCTACATGCACCTAATTTTTTTTGGAGATTTTTTTTTTTTTTTTAAATAACGGTTTCTTCAGTCACTACGTACTCAGGTTTGAGCCGATTTTCTTCAATCTCCTGGTGAATCACCCAAACTGACCCCCGAGGATAGAAAAAGTAACAATGAGCAGACGGGGAAAGCTCTCAAGGGAGCCAACGGTCCCTGGAACAAGCGAGCGACACAGGCACACCCTGGAGGGAAGGCCCCCTGGGGCGGCGCATGTGGCTCCCCAGCACAAGAAGGAGCAAACCGCTTCCCCGATCTTGATGTGGGGCCGGCATCCTGTCATCACCCAGACCCTGCCGATCGGCCCAGTGTGAGAGGCGGCACTGGGTCTGGGTCAATGCCAGACCTCAAGACAGTACAGCAGGGTCCAGAGCCATGTGCTACCCACAAGCAGAACCTGTCAAGGAATCTACTGCAGTTCACCACGTGACTACAACGAATGGGGAAAGCCACACGGTCGTTTCCACAAACGCTGAAAAGAAATTCGAGGAGACAGAACACTTCCTTCTAACGAAGGCTTTAAAAAACGACGATCCGTTTTTACCAATATTTTGCATTGTTTAATAACAGACACAATTAGGGGCACCTGGGTGGCTCAGGTCACGATCCCGAGGTTCGTGAGTTTGAGCCCCGTGTGAGGCTCTCTGCCGTCAAGTGCGGAGCCCGCTGGGACCCTCCATCCACCTCCCCGGCTTGCACCCTCTCAAAAATAAACATTAAAAAAACCAGACACGATTAGATAAAAGACAAAATGAGAAGGGGACAAATTAGAGATGACAGCCAAAGATAATTCAGTAATAACTCAGAATCAAATGAAATTAATACGTCAAAATCAATAGCTGTCTTAAAACCAACCACTGGTTTTAAAAATGTAATCAAAGAAAAGATCCCACTTAAGAGAGCAATTAACTCTCTCAACTTGGATCTCTACCATATACACTGCATCAAAATAAATTACAGGTGGCTCAAAGAGTTCAACATAATTAACGGCCAAGAATATTCAGAATAGGGAAGGCCCTTCTAAACACATAAACCCAGAAGTCAAAAATATTGATAAAAGTATTGAAATTTTTCCCACGGAGGGGGGAAAAATCAAAGTCGAGGCAAATGATAAACTGGGGAAAATGTATGCATCAGAGAGGAATGGCTAATTTCTTGTAAAAAAAAAAAAATTCCTTCAAATTGAAAGTAAAGATGGGCAACCTGAAATTAAAATAAAAGCTAAGAAAAAACAGGAAATTACTAATGGCTTTTAAACATGTGTGAGATGTGCTCACTGGTAATGAGAGAAATTAAGAACTAGAACTACAGTTCGATACCACCGGTTACCTGTCTACCCAGCAGAGATCAAGTTTGGTAATCCACCCCGTGAGACCCTCCACGCTGGAGAGACCTGGATAGACACACACGACCGATGTGAGCACAGACCCCTCTTCGGGGAGCGTTCTGGCAATATCCAGCAACAATATACTTCGCTTCTGACCCAGCAGTTTTGCTGCTAGGAATTTTATCTAGGCTGTACCTAATATACGTATACAAATACACATGGCCACACAAGGCCATTAGCACGGTTTTTAGAAGATGGGGTTTCTGTTTCAGACAATTTCCTGACCCTCCCACTGAAAGTCACTTAATACTGCCGGATAAATTACACCCCTGAAAATGCACTGCTCGGTGTCTCAGTTGCCGGCATGCATGTGGGGTGGGGTGAGTCTGTTGCCAGGTGCCAACCTCAGGAACTACGGGTAGGGTTGGAGCTTCCCAAAACACAGCGGCAAGAAGGTAAGACTTGGGCGCCCCCAAAGGGGGTGGGAATAGATTCCTGATTTACACACACACACAAAAGTCACAGTTCTATAAACGAGGGGTGCGTGGGTGGCTCAGGTAAGCATCCAACTCTTGGGTTCGGCTCAGGTCATGACCTCATGGTTCATGGGGCTCAAACCCCTGGGCTGAAAGCACAGAGCCGGCTTGGGAGTCTTTGTCTTTTCTTCTCTCTCTGCTCTCACTCACTCTCTCAAATTTTTTTTAATGTTTATTTTTGAGAGAGACAGGGCATGAGTGGGGGAGGGGCAGAGAAAGGGCGACACAGAATCTGAAGCAGGCTCCAGGCTGTCAGCACTGAGACTGATGCTTCACAGACTGAGCCACTCAAGCGCCCCTCGAAATAAGTAAACTTAAAATTCTTATGTAAAACTTCTGTAAATGAAAACACAGCCCCTGAAATTAAATTCATTAGATAGGCTGGAAGACTTTGTGGATTAGACGATAAATCTGAAAGATGACCTAGAATGGAGTGCACATAAATAAAAAATGTGACCAACGGATTAGGAGACACAAATGATAGAAGGGGACAGTTCAGCCTGTGTCCAAAAGAAGTTCCAGATGGAGAAAACAAAGCATACTGCAAAGAGGCAATATTTGAATAGTAAGTGGCAGGCGTGTTTCTAGCATTCATGAAGGGCACGCATGCTCACGCTCGGCACTCATCAAAGTGAGAATGACATACTGAAGAGTATCTTACTAAAGTGGGCAAGTGCAGAAGACAAAAGGCCTTCAACCTGAGGGAAAGACGCATCACCTCTCGAACACCAAGCAGGGTGGCGGGAGCCACGGGACGCCGTGGAGTAGGCACGAGTGTGAATGGACGCGGACGGCCCTCGCTCGGTCACTGCCGGTGCAGTCACACAGTGGCCGTGCCCGGTCTCTACCATGGGAGGGGAGCTGTCACCAAGCCACTGCTACACACGGAGGGCACGGGGCCAATGGTGTGACAGGGGTCGGGGGCTGGGGAAGAACATCTCCGCGCATGTGCGTACAGACCCCTCCGGAGAACGATGACCGAGGAGGAGGACCAGGCTGCTCGGGAAGAGAAGTGCCCAGAAACGTCGCTTCTCCCTCTGTATCGTGCTTCTGCCCGTGCAGGTTACCTGTTTAGGTGAAAGAGTGTAAGATGCTGGAAGGACGCACTTGAATGCGTAACAGCAGTTACGGCGGGGAGGAGTGGAGACAGCGGGACGAAGTAAAGGTGCCCGCTCCCTCTAGTCGCGGGCACCGTCATGCTGTTTGCGAAGCAGACTCGTTCACGACGGGGGCACTGGGTAGGCTGGGCGGTGGCCGCACAGGCACGCTGTTCCTGTTCAAACCGTGCCGTGTCTCACACGCGCTCCTGTACATAAACCTGGAGTTTAGAAATCCGTACTCCTGGCACACGGGCGAGGGCCTGGAACCACCTCACACTCTCTGACTATGGCGCGCCCCGCGGGCCCCCCTCCCCGGCGCGG